CTATTAACAAAATTAGCCTCGAAATCTGTTTCAGTGACAAAACCAAATACAAACAATTCCACGGAGAAATAACACCTCGCGTATCTTTAAAAAAAGTAAATAAAAACCGATTCGAAGGACGTTCATTTCGCTTTCAGACGTAATTCTGCGAACGATTGGAATTCAATTTCTGTTTGTTCGAATCAATTCCCGTATTATCGAAGATCTGATTTTCATCGAATTAAATTGCTGGCTATTAAGAACCTGATTCGATTACTTCCAACTACACACGCCAACACGTTCGAAACACGTTACAAGTAACATACAATATAACGTACGCGTCACGCGTGACTCTCGTCGCACTTTTTGTTCGAACGAGGGAGGAGGGCTCGTCTCCTGTTTGCTTAGCACGAAGAACAATCTTATATTTCTAGTGTCTCACGATTTAAAAACTGATCCTAAATGCGTATGCTCTAGCGAGGAGAGCTTTAGCGTGCAAGCGTTTCTGTCTCGCGATTCAAACGAGAACAAAAACGAGAAAGAAAAACAAAAGAAAAAATGGAATACATACATATATATATATATATGTAGTCAAACGGAATCCATTGTTCCTTTCTTCGGTAAAAAAAGGAGTAAATTTCGTCCTAAGTGTAGCGCGGGAAACTCAGTTTTAAACGGAGTAATAATATGTACAATCGTTCCTTAAAATAATTAATCACGTAAACTCTAATAAAACGCCTTTGTATACATGTACATTCATAATGTTAATATGTATATTATATTTATATGCCTCCTCGATTCGTCTAATTTAGAAATATTATAGCATATAACAATTTGCCAATAATATGTATATATATATATATAATTTCTCATTTCGACACAAGGTACCTAAGTTGAATGCTTCTTCTTCTTCATTTTCTTTTTTTTTTTTTTGTTACTTTTGTATAATATAAACATCGTATTTGTAAAATATGTTTTTTTTTTCTTTTTGTACGCCGAACACCCCGGTGTGTTTGTTGATTCCTCGCGAAGTCGAACGTTAACGAGACCCGGTGCGCGGCGGAATTTTAATTAAAAAAGATCGCGGACTTTCACAAAGACCCGCCCGAAAAAATTGTGTAATTAGCTGCCTCTCCTTATTTAGCGCGTTCCTCTTTTAATTAATGAAAATGCAATATCCCCGTGTACACGTGTAGAGCAAAACACGCGTGTGTTTCGGTGTGTCCGTGTCGTATACACGTGTACACGTAAACATTAAATAACGCTCTACCACTGCTGTCCGCGTGACGAGTAGCGCAACGAATGATTCTCTTTCTCCACGATCCTCGTTTCAAATGATTCCAACGATTAAAAACGCAATTTCTACTTGTTTATGTACAACGACTTTCTTCTTTCTTTTCACCACGCAACTTCAGACCATTCTCAACGTTGTTCTTTCATCAGAATTTTATTCAGACCGTGCCTCTTTATTTAACGGCCGTTTTAAAACGCGTATATTATATCAGTGTGTGTGTGTGTGTGTGTGTGTATATACGTGTGTGTGTATCTGTGTTGTTCGTGTGAAGCTTCCTCTCATTTATTCTCGAAACGATCTTCCATTTCTCGTCTTCCCGTACTGTCTCTTTCTCTTTCTACGCTACGCTCAATGACAATCAGTGAAAATCGATGCATCTATTTAGAACTCGTCTTACTGTCCTTCGTTTGAAGCACGTTAGAATTGGACGCGGCAGTGTTGGTTCACGAGAGCGGCCGTACGTTTGTCGCCCATTCAACGGTTACAATAATTTCATTCGACGATGAAAAAGAGGGTCGTCACACGTGTCCTTAGAACGACGGCAAAGATCTCTAAGAGATCTGATCGTTCTAAAATTCCGTATTTCGCGTGAAACATTTCGAATAACCATTTTTCTCCATTTTGAAGCTAGCCATTGCAATTGTTCGGTTGCCCAGCTCTTGCCTATTATTTACATTTTCTAATTTGAAAACGGGGAAGGGGAGAATTGTAAAATCGAGAATTGCTCCATTTCACCCGTGTATCACGGTCACACACGTTCCTCGATCTACTATTCTCTCCCTCTCTCTCTCTCTCTCCTCTTCTTCTCTTTCCATCTCTTACTCGATATATCTGGGACAAACGTTAGCCGCTGCTACTTGCAGGCACTCTATCCGCGGTTAAGCTGTAAAGGAAATACGCCCAGTGTTCGCTATTGTACGCTAGTAAGACCGATTTACGCCATTGTCAAAGGCATCTTGCCAAACGCGCTAAGATCCCGCCATTCGTTCTCGCTTTCCCCTCGACCGAGCTCTCTCGCCCTTCGAGGATATCTCGCCGCTGTAGAGAACTCTCGTAGTACACGCTACCAAGTTTTTCGCCTATGGTGTCGGATAACATGCGGTACCGGCTCTAAGAAATACACCAGCTGAAACGAATCGCACGAATACGTTTATTCCGAAGCTTCGGTCCGAATCTACACGCCGATTGATTCCACTCTCGCTGCGACACTTTTTCTTTCCTTTTTTTTTTCTAGCGAAATGTTAGAAACTGTTCCTCCAGGTTGCGGAAGTTTCTCAAGTTTAACACTGTGCAACAACTGGGAGTTTGCCTGGAGGAACGATAAAATTCATTTCGAAATGTTCGCGTGTATCGGCAGCAGAACATTTGCTTTCCCGAATTTGTCGTTATTTCACTATCTGAGAATGATTCTTCCTCCTCTCTACGAAGATATACAATTCTGTTTCGCCTTAAGTTTGATTAGGGTACAAGTATAAGTGTAGCATAGTATAGTAGTATGTATGTACACATCGAGAATAAGTTAACGAAACGATCTTCGTTGAGACAACTTTCGTTCGTTATCATTTATCGGTTAATTAACGCTAACATTGTTTACTAGTTCGGAACAAAAGTGAAACTTGAGAGATCGTTCTTCTTCGATATTCCTTCGTCGAATGTGTAGAAAGGAAGATCTATCGGATGATAAACGAAACGACGAATTTGTACAATTCAATTATCGGGAAAAGAAAAATGATTCCTTTCGTAATTTCTTATTTTCCCCTTTTTCTACTTATATCGTAAATACGTTTCGTTAGCTTCTCTAAAATATATAAAAATCGTTAATTATCTCGGATCTTCAAAGTTCTACCGCGTTTAAAATTTACCTCCGTAGTCGCACAGTTTTCTTATTCCGTGTTTTCGATAAAAATCACCACCAAAAATCGCATTCGAGCGATTCGTTTGCGAAGCAGCTTTACTTCGTCTACCTTAGAAAATATTAAAAAAAAAACAAAAGAAAACAAAAGAATGGAAATACATCTCCACAACACATCGCCCGGAACACCACCGCCAAACAGTTATAAATCAATTTAACACGTCCCAGCCAAAAATACATAACTCCTCGAAGACACCACAACGCGGTAAAATGTTCCTTCCTTATTTCCTTTAATAACCCCGTACGCGTACGGTGCTTCAACGTCACAATTCTCTCTTGCTAATAACCAATACTCACAGCACGGCAATAAGTGCACAACAATACTTCGAATAATTCATACATAAGTCTCTATATATCTCTCTCTCTCTCGCTTTCGTTCGCTCTCGTTCGCTCTAACTTTCTCTCTCTCTCGCTCTCTCTCTTCACGTTCATTTAGCATCGTCCCCCGTTCCACCTCTATCGAATACTCTTTTAAACGAAACGCATAAATGAGGCACTTGCCCGAATCTATACCGGCCGCATTTTCCCGTTCCTGTTTTATAGATCAGAAATTTGCCAACAATTAATATACGGAAGGCACGCCTCGTCTCGCGCGAATGCATGAAACGTCTCTCCACACGAAAGCACACGTTTCTCAAACTTCACCCATCGGAAAATCTCTGTAAATTCATAGTTGGGCGAAATTTTCAACCTTGCCTCGAGCATTGTAGATCGAACAGATCTTCGTTTCTACAAACACGCGAGTGTTCTTCTGCAAGTGAAGAAATTTCGTTTCGCTGGTTCGAGTTTCTTCGGTGAAACTCGGGGGAGAATCCCAGATCGGGCATGGTTTGAGAAACGTGAGTGAAAATGGTAAAGACGCTTCGTCTTCGTCCTTAAATCACTGCGGTTCTAAGCACCTAAACAGGCCACTGCTACGAACACAGTCTCTCCTCTGATCGTATCACATTTACACAGCTTAGAGTCGATCCTTTGTCCTATCGTCGTTGTTGTTTCTCTTTTTTTCCCTTTTTGGTTATTCCTTCATCTCCCATATCCATTCCATTGCCGTACTGGTGAGAAACGGAAAGGAAGAACTCGAAATCGATCGAATTCTGTACAAAATTAGCCCAAGGTGTGTGTGTGTTGGAGCGTCCGATACGCGATGTCGTCGCTTCTAGACATCGGAGAGAGCCTGAATTGTGGATATAGTTTAAAAAAATAGTTCCAAAGTTCGCGTGTCTCTGTTTCATTTTTCCCCCGCGCGCTCGCGGGTACATATCAGACGATACGACACGTAAACACCGGAAGCACGTAGCTTTGCAACGTAACCGGTTTTCCTCTGTACACGATCGATACGCACGACGACGAAGAAGAGAAAAACAAAGAAAAATCCGTACATCTCGAGGACGTCGAGTTCTCGAATTATCTCAGGTAACGCCGACACTAGGTAATGCTTGACAACATTCGTGGGTCTTCTTCGGGAGAGAACGAAACCTCGGGTAGTCTTGATCTTCACGTTACGTTCCACACAAAAAGAACCCCGTTAACCGAAAAACATCCTCTCTCTCTCTCTCTCTCTCTCTCTCCCGTGTGATCGCGTATAGACAATGAACAGCGTTGAAACGCACGGCAATCGGTTGCGGAACTAAGAACAGTTTAGAAAATACGCGACATAATCCGATCTCTCCAAGTCCGAACAATACTTCTTCTCTTCTCCAACGATCTCTCCTTCCACAGTTCTCGTAGATCTACCGTCGTTTACGTTATATCGCGCGTTGCTCGATCGATCCAACACCGTATCCTCCGTTTGAATCCGAAAGGAGACAGCCGGTGTCACTTCCGCGCCGCCTCGTACGTCAGCCCGCGCCGGAAGAACATCGAGCTGGCGCCGACCCGTTTCTTCCGGTAGCTCGAACTCCTGAACAATCGATCCTCCCCGCCGGCCATCGATCTAGACCTCGGTGGCGGGCTTCTCCTCGCGTCGTACTGGTTCGCCACGTACATGATCATGTCGTTGAAATTCGGGAGAAACTGCGGATTGAACAGCGACAAGATTCTCTCGTTCAACTCGCGCGGATCGCGAGTAGGGACCATGTAGTGATCGTGTGTGCTGGCCGTCTCCTCGCCGCGATTCAGATCGCTCAGCATCCGTTGATGACCGCGGCACAGGTCGTCGAGGCTGTTCGCGCTGCTGCTGCTGTAATCTTGAAGCCCGTTCATCGGTTCCGTTAACGCGGTCTCGATGTACTCCCTACCCGGGTAACGATGGTCGTATCTTCTGTTGTAATCGGTCACCTTCGACATGGATCGTGAATCGTAAGCCGCCGCGGCAGCCGCTGCTTGCCTAGATGTGACGAGGAACTCGAGCTGTCTCTCCTCGCTTGCTACGCTCTCGTAAACGTCCTCGTCGTACCTGGCCAGCTGGTCGAGCATGCAGCTAGCGTTCACACGATTCTCCTCGTCGGCGTTCTCGGCGGCGTCGTCGTCGTCTTCGTCGTCGTCGTTACGATCGTCTGATTCCGCGAGGTCGGAGGATGAGGAGGAAGAAGAAGAGCCGGAACCCGTGGGGTCCTGCGGCAAGCCTCAGACGGCCCTGTGTCGTCTTCTGTATCATATGTACGTCTTCTTCACCTTCTGCACAGGCTTATTCTCCGCGGAGGAGTTCGCGTTCTTCCCGTTCGGATTCTTCGGTGGTACGTTAAGGACCAGGTTGATGGATTTGTTGTTGAAACCCGGCGACTCGGAGCTCTCCGTCAGCCGATTCAGCTGCTGTCGTTGCTCCGACGGTTCCGGATAAGGCGCGCCGCGTAGCCTCTGGGAGAACCAGAAACCGGAAGCGAAGCCGGCTACCAGGGAGAAGAAGCAGGTTCCTATCAGAGCACCGGTCAGGGTCTGGGCAGAGTACACCACCGGTGTCGCGACCACGTCTGCAATGAAAGGTGAATTAATATCGATGGAGATGTATCGAGAAGACTTGTTGCTTCTTTCATCGAACGTTGGGGTGTTTCTTTTTCTTTTAGGGGTAAGAAGAAGTCGGTGAGGAGAATCGTTCGGGTAGAGGTTGTGGGAGGTTTTTCTGTAACTGCTGGTGCAACTGAATTCTCCACGGCGAAATAAAGAAAATGGGAGATGTAGATTTTTGGGGGGATTTTTGAAAGTAGAATAGGAACTTTCTCGTACGAGGCTTCGTTTTTAGAGGAAAGAGACTTTGAATATTTTTTTAAGTTGAGTTTATATTTGTTGCAACTTTTGAAGTTGGGATGTCGAATAAAATAGTACGCTTGTTGTACTAGCTTACGACCGTTTGCAGGTTTTGTGTCTACAAACGTGAAAATTCTTCTTTTCCTAGATCGTGTGATACTGTCGTTCTTCGTAGCGTGATTAACGTGATTTTATGAACAATTTAACGCTGAAAAATTTCTTACTTTAGAATTGATAGGTATTCCTGCTTTAAAACAGGAGTAAGTAAAACAGGCCATCTAATTATCTTCTCTAACTATGGCGGATTTAATGGTTTCAAAGGGTGAATAAGATGGAAGAAAAATTTGTTCGATGCAAGAAATGGCAAGAAATGAAAGGTTTAAAATTTCAGCACATCCAAATCTAAATGCACATCGATATCTACAACATACACTAGAAAAAAGTATGCACATTCAAGTAAAAAAATAAAGGTAGCCTTGAAAAAAACAGAACAAATTTTTTGAAACCGTTTAAATTACCTATAAAAATTCTCTGGTATTATTATAGTTAAAAACGACAATTAGGTGGCCTGTTTTACGTGTCCCACCTTGTACAGCGTTCGAGAAATTTAAATTACCACCATACGACACAGGTGCATCGAAATAAATCTTCAAAATGACTCTCTTCGAGCAATGAAGCCTCGTATAAATATTATTTCTCTTCCTTCAATCTCCTTTTCCTCGAAGAACCCAACCTTTTCCCGATTATACCAGCATTTGGAAGAGCCCTGAAGCAACTCTCTCGACGAGCAAATATCTCGTTATCAACCGTATTCCATCGGGCATTTCCCATCAGAAAGTGAACGACAGATAGAAGTCACCGATTGTTGATTTATCCGCTCGTTCGACGAACGTCACGCAATTAGCGTGCTATTAACGTTCGCTACCAATGCGAATAATTCGATCGGAGGGGCGGTGATACCTATTTGTACATTTGCCTGAATTTCCGCGAATTTAAACGCGATTCTACAAAAAAGAAAGAAAAAAAAAAATCGAACAGGCGCTCTAACGCGACCGAAAAACGCGATTCTATCTAGCGGGCTGCGAGCCGATTGTCCCTTCTGTTCTCGCCTCGAATAGCGTCCACGCGACCGAGAACGTTGCATTATCCACGTTGCATTCGAAGGAATCGAGACTGGAAGTGACTGGAAATCATGAAACTGGCTCCG